TGATGCTGTCTACACCATAGATATATATATATATACATATCTATGGTCTACACTGGATGCGGTGTGGCACGACATGACAAATCCCTGACAGAAAACTGCTGCCGCATTCTATTTATGACGTATTGACACAAATTTCAAATGATTTTCAACGGTCGCTTTGTCACGTCCAGTGTACTAGACAGACTTTAGCTGTTGCGGCGCAGACACGGTGTTACTCACCTATCGATAAGAAACAAAGCAACCTCGGCGTCCGATCGCAGGCCTCCGCTCCTTGAGTTCTCTCCATCGCTGGAAAGCTGATCCGATATTTACACAGGTCCTACTTCTTGCCTTATCGTTCCGCAGACGTTTTCCCTCTTTTGTTTTTTATCCGCCATCTATATCTTTCTGTTGCTCAGCTCGGCTAATGTCTGTCCTGTGCACTGAACGCTCTCTCCTCCACATCACGAGTAGACATGCCCCTTATTGCTGATTGGCTATAAGTTTGTTTTGCTATTCGGCCCAAATCAGTTTTCTAAAGTGTTTTTGAAAAATCACATACCCTGCCTTTAATTGTCCTTTCTACACTGCAGTTAGTTTAGCTGTGTGTTCTTGAATCAATGACATCATACATTTGATGGCAACACATATTTTAATGCATTAAAAAACTGCCAAAACCTTTTGCATTCCTGTCAGTTTTGACCCGGTGGAAAGTGAGCTTATAAAATGGTCATAACTTAATATTTTTCAAATAAAATGACATTGTATCTGATGAATAACTTCTCACTAATGAGAGTGTAAGGAATCAGCTCATAGGAAATATGAATAATTAACCATAACTAGTTATAATTAATTATGAATATTTTAGATCCGCTGTAGATATTTAGCTGACCTCTCAGGGTCAACTGTCTTGTCAATTCTAAGAACGTTAGTTTCCTGGTTAAGGGAAATAACTTCCTTACTGTAAAATTCTACAAAAGCTTGTAGCATAAATCTGCATGATTAAGTGACTCCAGTTATAAGCAAACAATGAACCACGTCAAGTGTGATACAAGTAAGGTTTTATTAACTACATAAACACTTAAACTAGTCTAACAGACTACATAAACACATAAACTGGTCTAACATCCTACATACACACATAAACTGGTCTAACATACACATACACATATTTGATCTCTTAAGATCCCTCTATTACATTAGCAGCTTTTCTGATCTCTTTTGAATTCTCTGTGTGTTTGTCTTCAATCTCTCAATTGGGATTTAAATGAATAGTTAACCCTAAAATGAACAATTCATCCACATGTCATTCCAAATCAGTTTGACTGTCTTTCTTCAGTGAAACATTTGAAAAATGTATTTTTTTCACCCTAGTGTTGTTTTGGACTCCATTGACCCCATTGACTTAACTATCACTTTAAATTTAACAGCCACAATATGTAAGTCTACATGAATTGTGACACTATATGCTTTGAGCAGTGCCTAATGCTGGCATACTGTATATGTGCTCTGCTTCTGCAGACATCAGTCATGTGCTCAGTATTTAGGGTTTCACAGAATCCCTCTCTTTCACGGAATCCCTTCTCACGCTGTTGGTAACATTTTCTGAGCCCTGTGCTTTACTTCGCCGCCTCCTCTCACTTCAGCAGCTATCTGTCTGCACCACAGACAGGACAAACATCTGCTTATGAAAACATCTTTAAACCTGTTAGAAGCCAAAAATGGTGGAGGGATTAAAATAGCGTCATACAGTACAAATGAAATTAATATTTCACAAAATAAAATATAAAATACATGCTTCTCTGACATATAGCTGCTGTTAACTTGGCTGTTCACTCTGGTAATCTTTTGTATTTATAGTTCTGAATTTATATAGTATTGATTTTTTTTATGTTATCTTCTTACAAGGTCCTGTGAAATTATCTTGGAATTTACTGTGCCTTTCGAATGTTTGGGGTCATTAGGATTTTTTTATGTTTTTGAAAAATAGGAAGTGTTTGTACATCTTAAAATAGCTGTTTTCTATTTGAATATATTTTAAAATGTAACTTATTCCTGTGATCAACGCTGAAGTTTCAGCATCATTACTCCAGTCTTCAGTGTCACATGACCCTTCAGAAATCACTCTGATATGTTGATTCGCTGCTTAAGAAACATTTCTTATCACTATTATGTTGAAACCAGTTGCTTTGCTTAAAAATTTTCAGGATTCTGTGATGAATAGAAAGTTAAAAACACAGCAATTATTTGAAATAGAAATCTTTTGTAACATTATAAATGTCTTTACTGTCAGTTTTGCTCATTTGAATGCAGAGATGCCCAAACCAGGGCCCGTGGGCCAAAGTTGGCCCATGATGACCTTTGATTTGGCCCACAATGCCATACTTGCAAGAGGAAACTAAAATATAGGGGGAAAAACATGGCATTGAAGCATACCTTAATTTTTTATTTAATTTTTTTTGTTTTGTTTTATTTTTGGATTAATATGTAAAAACATTATAAGTAAATCTGATTATATACATAAACTTATATTTAACCTTTAACACTTCACTTTCAGAACATTTATAACAATGCAAACTGGATGGTGAGTTCATCATTTAAAAGAAAAATGCACATTTGAAAAGAGCTACCACTTTCCAGGAAATATAGTTGATGGCTGCACATGGCATTCAGACAGTCTCTTCATATGTAATTGGGCATTTCTTAATCAAGTCTTTGTTTTCTGATCCCCAGATGCCAGGTCCTGCTCAGTGGGGGAGTTCCAGTGTCGTAACCGCAAATGTTTAGCACCGGTCTATGTGTGTGACGGCGATGACGACTGTGGAGACGGCAGCGATGAGGAAAAGTGCTCTCCGCCCACCTGTGGGCCGCACGAGTTTCGCTGTAACAGCTCAGAGTGTGTGCCGCAGCCCTGGATCTGCGACGGCGACCCTGACTGCGCTGACGGCTCTGATGAGTGGGATGGGCGATGCGGGGGCGGGTCTGGACGGCCGGCTCCACCACCCACCCGGCGACTGCAGTGCGGTGCTGGAGAATTTCGTTGCGGCAGTGGGGAGTGTGTGAAACTGGCCTGGAGGTGCGACAGGGACCCTGACTGCAAGGACAAGTCAGATGAGGCCGATTGCCGTGAGTGTGCACTCTCACTTACTTCCTGTAGAAAGTACTTGGATCTCACTGTACAATTGTGACCCTTTAATCCGTCACTCAAATACAGTATGTAGTTAAATACTGATGTTTATCAGGGCAGGGGTGTTTTTTTTTAGTAGTACAGATTTTTCTTGCCCTGACAATATTTTCATCGGCTCTCCACAATACGTATTATATTTTATTTTTTAGCAATTTTATTTATATATGCCAAGAAAAATATAGGTCACACTTCTGTTTGGGGACCAATTAACTAACTATTAACTACAACTTTTGCCTCAATAAACTACTAATTTGCTGCTTATTAATAGTTTGTACAGTAGTTAAGTTTCAGTATGGGGGAGGATTAAGGGCTCTAAAATATGATCATGCAGAATAAGGCATTAATATTTGCTTTATACAGGTGCATCTCAATAAATTAGAATGTCATGGAAAAGTTCATTTATTTCAGTAATTCAACTCAAATTGTGAAACTCGTGTATTAAATAAATTCAATGCACACAGACTGAAGTAGTTTAAGTCTTTGGTTCTTTTAATTGTGATGATTTTGGCTCACATTTAACAAAAACCCACCAATTCACTATCTCAACAAATTAGAATACTTCATAAGACCAATAAAAAAAAACATTTTTAGTGAATTGTTGGCCTTCTGGAAAGTATGTTCATTTACTGTACATGTACTCAATACTTGGTAGGGGCTCCTTTTGCTTTAATTACTGCCTCAATTCGGCGTGGCATGGAAGTGATCTGTTTGTGGCACTGCTGAGGTGGTATGGAAGCCCAGTTCTTTGACAGTGGCCTTCAGCTCATCTGCATTTTTTGGTCTCTTGTTTCTCATTTTCCTCTTGACAATACCTCATATATTCTCTATGGGGTTCAGGTCTGGTGAGTTTGCTGGCCAGTCAAGCACACCAACACCATGGTCAATTAACCAACTTTTGGTGCTTTTGGCAGTGTGAAGGAAGCATGAAGTGCTCCAAAATGTATTGGTAAACGGGTGCAGTGACGTTGGCTTTCAAAAAACACAATGGACCAACACCAGCAGATGACATTGCACCCCAAATCATCACAGACTGTGGAAACTCAACTCTGGACTTCAAGCAACTTGGGCTATAAGCTTCTCCACCCTTCCTCCAGACTCTAAGACCTTGGTTTCCAAATGAAATACAAAACGTGCTCTCATCTGAAAAGAGGACTTTGGACCACTGGGCAACAGTCCAGTTCTTCTTCTCCTTAGCCCAGGTAAGACGCCTCTGACGTTGTCTGTGGTTCAGGAGTGGCTTAACAAGAGGAATACGACAACTGTAGCCAAATTCCTTGACACGTCTGTGTGTGGCGGCTCTTGATGCCTTGACCCCAGCCTCAGTCCATTCCTTGTGAAGTTCACTCAAATTCTTGAATCGATTTTGACAATCCTCATAAGGCTGCGGTTCTCGCGGTTGGTTGTGCATCTTTTTCTTCCACACTTTTTACTTTCACTCAACTTTCTGTTAACATGCTTGGATACAGCACTCTGTGAACAGCCAGCTTCTTTGGCAATGAATGTTTGTGGCTTACCCTCCTTGTGAAGGGTGTCAATGATTGTCTTCTGGACAACTGTCAGATCAGCAGTCTTCCCCATGATTGTGTAGCCTAGTGAACCAAACTGAGAGACCATTTTGAAGGCTCAGGAAACCTTTGCAGGTGTTTTGAGTTGATTAGCTGATTGGCATGTCACCATATTCGAATTTGTTGAGATAGTGATGAGAGACCATTTTGAAGGCTCAGGAAACCTTTGCAGGTGTTTTGAGTTGATTAGCTGATTGGCATGTCACCATATTCTAATTTGTTGAGATTGTGAATTGGTGGGTTTTTGTTAAATGTGAGCCAAAATCATCACAATTAAAAGAACCAAAGAATTAAACTACTTCAGTCTGTGTGCACTGAATTTATTTAATACACGAGTTTCACAATTTGAGTTGAATTACTGAAATAAATGAACTTTTCCACAACATTCTAATTTATTGAGATGCACCTGTAAGTACTAATAAACAGCAAATATGCTATTAATATGCATGCATAACATGCAAGAAATTACATAATTGTCAAGCTACAGTGATATAAACGCACGAAGAAGATGAAGATAAATGCAAATCGTCTTTTAATAAATCCACACAAGGGTAAATCCAGGACGGACAGGCAGGAGCACACGTAGGGAAACATTCACAATACCAAACGAGCGAAAACTGAACAGGCTACACTTTAAATACAGGAGCAAATGAAGATAATTAACGACACACACCTGAACTAAATGACATAATCAACGGGAGACAGAAACTAGGGGCAAGTTCAAGCTCAAACCGGTGTGCACCGTTTTGCTATGGTTTCCGGGTTGAACGACATGTTTCCTGGAAACGGTGTGCAACGGGGTTTGAGATACGTTTTCTCTTGTTTGGTGGGTGTGGCAAACATGTCAGCCCAATCAGCAGCAGCATGTATGTAAACCACGCGGTATTAAAGAGACAGCTCGCACTATGTAATTAACATCAAAATAAATTTAAAAGAGCAAGTATATTGTTTGCACATGTCTATTTACATTAAAGGCAAAATAACTGAAATAATAAGAGCACATGTATAGATCTGGAACTTCTTTAAGTCTGTCTAAATATCATTTAGTAATTGCAATGTCTTCTGGTCCATATCCTTCCCTTAGGAAGGTGTGCTAGACACTGATTAATGTAACATAAAAATACTATACATATTTAGATATTTTGATATTGCATTGTGGAGTGACACTTTCATAAACTTTTCTATACTCCTCCGATTATATAATGGTAAATATTACAATATCATAGCACAACAACAGTGATCAGCAATAATGATAAGCCGAAATGTTTGTCTTTTCATCCTGAAATGCGAGGCAAATGTTGGATCACAATAATTAGGAACCACAGTTTCCACAAATCCCTTCACTCGAATTGGGATGTTCTCTTTTATTCTGGAGGGCAAGGGCAGTGACTGTTATATCGAGCATATTTTGCAGTATTAAACACGTATTTATACCGATTTCATCAGGCTCCGAAAATTCTTCAAAAAGAACACAAAGAATGGCCTTCTCAGCTGCCATAGTTGCAACTCTTACGTCATCAGAACAGAGTGTTCAACGCACCACCGTTTCCGTTTAAAAAACCTTTTGCACTGTTTTGTCGGGGCTGAACGCAGGCTAGATCACACAGAGCACAAGGGGGAAGAAAACACAACAAAAGTCCAATGGGGTGTGACAATAATAGTGAGAATTGGTTAAAAAAAGTGTTACCAAAATATTTTAATTTGTAATTTTTTTCAAGAAAAAAGGTAGTTAAAAAAAAAAAATGCAATAACTATAAATTAAACCACTTTAAAGTCATAAATATACTTTTGCTAGAAAATGATGGCAGGTTGGTTTATATTTTTCTACCTATTCTAACTGATGATTCAAAGATTATTGCACAGTTTTCTTGTGATTTCCTCAAATTCTCATCAGTGTTAGGTAGCTAGAAAATGTTGCATTATTATTTACATACTTGGCACATTTTTTGTGGCATATTGGCATATTTTACATATTTTTGTTACATATTTGTCACATTTTATTTATCCCAATTTACAGTACATTTCTTTGCATTTTTATGCATTTGGCAAATGCTTTTATTCAAAGCGGCATGCACTGAATTTAAGGTACACATTTTATCAGTTCAAGCTTTCCAACACATGACCTTGACATTGCTAGCACATAGTGTTCACAAGATGTAAAAAAATCAAGACAATGAAAAGTAAATTAAATGAAATTTTCAGAGGCCCAAAAGGGCAACTGGCGACAGGCCTGAAACTCTTTTGTCTAACACAATATTCACCAAAGACATAAATGTACAGTATGTTCTTCAGTAAAAACAATATGTTATTTGAGGTGGTACACACATTTACATTTTAATGTTATATGTGTGTGTGTGTTTTTTTACTGTAATTAAGAGATTTATTTTAATATATTATTAATAATTCTTAAATTTTTATTAATATAATTAATAATATTATTAGTAATAATAGTGGGCCCCAGTCCCCTGGTTGACAGCCGCTGTCTTACACTGGGCCTGGGCCCCAGGGTCAACTGTAGTTGATGCTGATTGTTTTTGTGCCATAAAAGTTTTGCACCCACCCAGTTTATTAGGATACCTTTGCAGGGCTCAACAATAAGGTCTGGCCGGTGGCCTGGAGTCAGTGTCGCATGAGACAGTTGACAGACTGCATTTGTTTTTAAGTCTTGCCAATTTAAACATTAAAGATAATTGAAAACATTTAAGCTCAGATAGCATGTGTACCGAAATTAGTTTTATTTCGCTTCATTTTGTCGTATTGTGCTTGAACTGACAAATGTACACAAAACTGTCAAAATGCTAGTCTTGGGGAGTATATATAAATATCCAACACCGCTGGCTATTTCTTAAGCGAATGTAAACGAAATCGGATGTGTCAGTAGTATATCGGATCTGTGCGTTAGGTCTTAAAGTGACAGCAGCCCAATATACCTGCTGCTCCTGTCATTAATGTTAATCAAACAACAATAGACAGAAAAATCACTCACTGCTCTTGACCAAATTACTTTTTGTAGTTTTCATGACACATATGACTGCATAACACACTATGTATCGTTATTTTACATTTGGTAACTAAATTCAATTCCTGTAGTATTTCTTACCTTTCTTACCTTTTTGAAAATCTTAAAGCACTGTTTTTGATTTCACTGGTACCAAAAATGGTGGTGTCGTAACAGTTTTATTTATTAGAATACAAGGTTACATGGGTCAAAAACAATAAAAACAGAAACTGAAAAGTTTGAACCAATGGCCCGACTGACTGCTGTGTGCAGTACGTTCTATTTATGAGAAATGCTCTTTCATAACAGTAACATTTAAGAAGATGTGCAAGAATGTGGATTGATTTTGTAGCATGTTTGTGTGTATTTGTGTGTGTGCATCAGCCCTCTCACCGTTTGTCTCTTGGTACGTTGCATGGTTCATCTTTCTTTCTCTCAGACTCGTTTTCCACCTACTGAACTTGCTGGCTGCTGCATTGATGCACACAAGGCAAGCACTCCCAGTGAATGTGCATGAAGGTGCTCGGCATCTCCACCACATTTCTGGAAATATCTGTGCAGGAATCTCAGCAGGAGTTCTCATTGTGAGGGCCACACGACCCCAATGTTTCTGACGGGCACGTCGCTCTGACATGCTCCGATGGGAATGAAATTCTCTTAGATACTGTGAGGTTTTGCCAAAGATGGAAGGCGACGGTTCACGGCAGATAATTTTTTCTGACTGCCTGCCATTTATTATCTATTCCACCCACACAAAGACAATTCGTATTATTGAAGCCATTATTGCCACGTGACTCAAAGCATTTGGTGTGGAGACACTTTAATTTAGTTTGACAGTGATGGCAGCACACACACCATTGTTGTGTAACGTCATAGAACAATGAAAGCTTTTTCATGCACTTTTGCAGTATGTTAGCCAAGTGTTCATGTAGAGTACAATGTTTCTGATCTTCCACCAATGCACTTATTATATAGAAAGCCCTCCTGGAGCATTCTGGGGTTAAATGGGCTGCTCAAGGGCACAGTGGTGATGCTCATGAATGTAGCGACTACTCTGCACAACCCACACATAACACCATTTAACTGTTAAGGAGCAGTTTAATCCAAGCATTCTGAGAAAGCTCAACGGAGCTCATTGATTCTGGCATGTCAAGCTCACACTTTTGAGCTTCCATTGACCATTACTGATGTGCTCAATGTTTCTGCGTCGATCAATTATTATCTGTGAATAAAGCCTCAGTTAAATCTGTCCAGCATATAAAGCAGTTGTGTCTCGTCAGAAGATTTGGAATAAACCTCTCGATTCATATGGATTACTAACTGTGAACTTTCTGAAGATTGAAAGTTTTTGTAGAATGGACTTTCAAAAGAGGGACAGAAATGTTTCTCAATTTTTAATTCTCAAATCTCAGTTTGTGTTTAAAAAAATGAATGAAAATCACATGGGTTTGTAACAACATGAAGGTGAGAAAATGATGACAGAATTTTCATTTTTGGGTGAAATAACCCTTCACGTTAATACATTCAAGAAGTAAATGCCTTCTTTCTTTTTTTATAACAATTAAGTAGTTCGTTTTACTAGTTCTTTTTGCTGAAATTTCAGCACAAAAATATTTTATATGCAGTAATTCATATTTTTCAATAACCTAAAAAATTTTTTTTTAATTGGATATATATTTGGACATATTTTGGGGGGGAGGGGATTTGATTTGATTCATAGCAAAGTACAGAAGCAACTGCATCACATTAATGTTTCAGTTGAAACAAGAATCAAACAATACATTATTAATATGGTTGGACAAGCCACATATCTTAAGCCTTTATAAAATATCTGATAAATATAAAACTTACCTTCTACATTAATGCGTTTCTACCATTGCATGGTATTACCGTCTACCGCCCAGCCCTAGTTATGGTATTGCACAAAAGTGGTTTGTTTCGATTTTGCAATTTTATTTCCTATATATCAGCAATGACTCTGATGCACATCAGAAATCAGATTTGTCAAAATGCTGTCACATCCTTTTAAAATCTCTGGGACACATCCTTCTCTGAAAGCTGGGGAAATTCAGATTTCACATCACCGCTGTGGTACTCATTCCCTAGGCACCTCTGATAGAATGGAGCTGCCACAAGGTGTTTGTTATCTAACGTCGAGGTCTAAGAAGAGAGCGGCTTTGGTAAACAACAAGATCCCTGGAGTATTAACCGACCTCAAGATCCCGAGAGTCATGAGAGAAAGACAGGTGCCCGGGAGAGCACCTGATTTTAATTACGATGCATTCTCGTACTTGACTTCGGTCGGCTAGATAAGCTTGTTTTAAACCTGCTGCCTCTTTCTTCATTCCCACCATCAGGTAACATCCAGGTCAATTACAATGTGGCTTTGCCCAGGCCGGAGGGAAAACGGGCGAGCAGAGTGGCACGTGCGTTACTATGTGTGTCCTTGAGCATTTTAAAACCCTTGAAATAAAGGGAGGATACATCCACAGACTGCTCCATAATCACATTAATCCCTCATTCTTATGCAGCGTTTCAGGGGTTTTACTTTGAACTTCATAATAGCCAGTATTGTTTGTCTTCTCAGATGTGTTTGCGTAATTAAGCCACAGCTCTCCAGAAACGCTCACTAGAGGTGTGTTTGTGGGGTTTTTGTGGGCTTTGAAAGTGCCTTTAAAGTGTCATGACAGCTACACACACTTTGAAATCAGGTCGGATTTGTCTAAAATCTTACTGCAAACAAAGATTACTCATATACTGTGTGTGTGTGTGTGTGTGTGTGTGTTTACAGTTTTAGTCCAAAGGTTTACATACACTTTGCAGAACAAGCAAAATGTTAATTATTTTACCAAAATAAGAGTTATCATATATCAAAATGCATGTAAATTTTTCCTAAACAAATGTCCTGAATAAGATATTTTACTTAAGATGTTTACATAGTGCACAAGACAAAACAGCTGAATTTATACAATTTTTTTTATTTTTTATTTAGTCATTTAGCAGACGCTTTTATCCAAAGTGACTTACAAATGAGGACAACAGAAGCAATCAATTGTAGTATTAAAACAACTAAAAACAGATCCAAAACTAAAAGCTAAAACTTTATAAATACTACTTATACACATTTTAAAAATAAAACAAAATTTCAAAACTTAACATTTAAATAAAAAATAAATAAATAAATAAAGCTATAAATAATTCAAAATAGTAAAGAACAAAAGGTATAAGATTATAATAATGATTTTAACATAACACTAAGCCAAACACCAAAAAAACAACTACATATGTGTGTATGTACAACCATACACACATACATATATATACAGTATATACATACACATTTATAAATTCAATATATATATTATTTCATTTCCATTTAGTTTGTTGAAGTATTAAAATAATTCAAATTAAATAAAACTAAAACTTAATAAATTCAGACATAATTTAACTAAAATTAAAATAAATAACAAATACAAATCAAACGACAGTAGTTTATCAGTAATCCTAAAAAATAACACTGTCAAACACACACTGCTAAAAAACAACAACTTACTTACACATAGTAAGAAATGGTTGTAAAAACCGAAACAGAAGTGAAACAAGTAATAGGAAAGAGGAGAAATAAAAAGCAATACTTATCTTATACTTAAAATTACCCCATTCAAAAGTTTGCATATGCTTGGTTCTTAATAATGTGTGTATCATTACCTAGATGATCTATGACTGTTATCCATATTTTCACACTGAGGACAACTGAGGGACTCATATGCTATTATAAAAGTATTACAACTATTACAAAAGGTTCAAATGTTCACTGATGCTACAGAAGGAAACACAATGTATTAAGTACCAGTAAGTAACTATATAATAATTATATACATTTTTTCATTTAGAACTGCCTTTCAGAAGCCACAGAAGATACTTCCATGTTCACCAAGATATAAGTACAATTTAGCCGGATCTTGAAATTCAAAAAGTTTGCTTTAATTAGCTCCTAATGAAGTGAAGTGAAGTGACGTGTGGCCAAGTATGGTGACCCATACTCGGAATTTGTGTTCTGCATTTAACCCATCCAAGTGCACACACAAAAATTGTTTGGATGTGGATATAAAATCATGTCTTTTTTCCCCGTTTTTTAACTGAATTACAGACAACATAAGTATTCATAGGGGTGTTTACCAATTGTGAAGCTCCTAAGCATACCAAAGATACCATGAAGGTCTGTTTGTCAGCGTTTGGCTGATGTCTGTGCTGTGTTTGGCTCATCTGCAGCTCTGCTCACATGCCGGCCTGATGAGTTCCAGTGCGGAGACGGATCCTGCATCCACGGCATCAAGCAGTGCAACAAAATACACGACTGCCTCGACAAAAGCGACGAGGCTGGCTGTGTCAATGGTACGTCTTGGCGCGCACATGTGTGTGTGTGTACTTCTTTGCACACATCTTTTGTGCTGCTTATTCAGCAGGGTGAACTGTATCCCAGAGATCAAATTGGTTCCGCCTTTTAATGCGACACCCTTCAAAGTTTAATGAGGGCAGACCTGTCTGTCCATAGCAGAAGCTCAAAGAGTGCTGTGTCTAAGCGGTAATAAGCTTTCATGTGTGGAAATAAATTGGCCAATCCTTTTGAAAGTGGCTTTTATATGGAAGACATGCAGAGACTTCACCTAAACTGCCCACATTTGTTAAATTACCAGTCTGTATTTGTGCACTAAAGACCTCTGAGTATTTGTGCTTATGTGGGAGGAAACAAAGCTAAATTGAAATGAACTGAACAAATCAGCTGCCATCTGTTCTGTAAGCATCTTTTCCATTTTTTCCAACCATGCTTTAGCCACAAAGTGTGAAGGACCTCTGAAGTTCCTCTGCAGGAATGGAGAATGCATTGATGGCATCAAGGTGTGTGATAATGTGAAGGACTGCAAGGATCGGTCGGACGAACCCAAAAAGGAGTGCAGTAAGAAACCTATTTGTTGACGTACAAGAGTAGAGAGCTATAACATGAATGTGGTTAGTTTAGTTCAGATTATTTGATCTTGAAAGAATTGATTAGAAATATTGAGCTCACACTGAAATCTTTGACTTTTGATTGTACATATGTGACCCTGGACCACAAAACCAGTCATAAGGGTAAATTTTTTGAAATTGAGATGTATACACCATCTCAAAGCTGAATAAATAAGCTTTCCAGTGATTCCAGTTTGTTATGATATGACAGTATTTGGCCGAGATACAACTATTTGAAAATCTGGAATCTGAGGGTGCAAAAAAATCTAAATATTGAGAAAATCGCCTTTAAAGTTGTCCAAATGAAGTTCTTAGCAATGCATATAATCAAAAATGAAGTTCTGATATATTTACAGTAGGAAATGTACAAAATATCTTTATGGAAAATGATCTTTACTTAATATCCTAATGATTTTTGGCATAAAAGAAAAATCTATAATTTTGACCCATACAGTGTATTTCTGGCTATTGCTACAAATATACCCCAGCGACTTAAGACTGGTTTTGTAGTCCAGGGTCACATATTAAGTTCTCTTCCGAGAATATTTTGAAAAATTTGTAAAAAAGTATACTTCAGTGTTGATGTGAATAATTCATTCATGCATACAGTGGAATGCAACTCATCTTTAATAATTAAAATGGCATACTTGAGCATTTTTTCCCATGACAATAGCTCATTCATGTCTTTAAATTAGGGATGCACAATATTGGATAATTGCCGATATGCCGATATTTTTGGCCAGAAAGCTGACACTGATACCGATATATTTCCTTTTGTTTGGAAACAACAACAAGTCTCTCCTGTGCAGAGATTATAAACACATTATTTTTAATTTTGGTTAGTTTTTAACAAAAACTTACTTGTTAGAATTAAATCAACATTAATGAAGTTCTTCTATAATAAGAGTACATCGAAAGCTTTGAAAATAACTATAAATCAAACACTTTTTTCCCCCCAGACAGATGCAGTGGTAACCCTTACATTTTATTTGAAGATTTAACATTTGTAAAAATAAATATATCATTTTTAATTTATAGCGTCAAACTTTATTTTCCCTCTAGTTGATTTTATTTCTGTCTGTAAGAGCCAGGTAAAATAATAAGAGATCTTCTGCCAGAACTGTGTGAATTACTTACAAATTGTGATCCGTGGTAACACTTTATTGTTACACATGTTGCATGTACTTACTATTATAATAAGAATAAATACATAATTACATGCAAGTAACACTAAGCCATACCCTAATCTTACCCCTAACAAAATAGTAAGTACATGTAGTTAATTAATATTACTCAGTATTTAAATGTATAATTACACTGTAACAAGGACACCTTAAAATAAAGTGTAACCATCCGTTACTGATTCCAAATTACATGTGGTTAGTAACGTAATCCATTACATTACACATTTTAGGTAATATAATCAGACTACTTTTAGATTTTTGATCGTTTTTCACATTGATTTCAATAGGATAATCTTGTACCATATTGAATTAAATCATTTTAAAATGAATCAATATAAAACACGTACTAAAATTTTTTTTATATTTTATTTATTTACCTGCATGTCATGTGACCATTAACCTACATCAGATAAATGAACATGCAAATGTGATACTTATTTATTAAAAATGTCAGGGGTACTTAAAATAAAAATGTATTAGGTGAAAGAGGATCAGATGACAAAAAAGTTGGTGAATTTGTGCAGTTTAATGTCTTCCACAGTAATACATGGTACAATAACCGACTGAGTGATAATTCAAATAAAAATTAATGTGTTCATCAGTAGTTGTTGCCATATTGAAACACTTCTTAAACCTGAAATAATTTTTGTAAAGCCAGTGGTCAAATGCTGTGTAGCCACCTGACTAATAGCTGGTCTCTGTGTGAATGTCCAAGTCTGTGGAAGACTTTCTGAATGTATATAAGCGGTAGGCTATTTTAAAAAGGAACATTTAAGAGATGAAAAAGAGGAAATAGAAAGAATCAATAAATTATTGCTATTGTGTAAATAATATGTAATCATGTAATCCATTTAGGGCTGCCACTAACGACTTTTTATTTAGTAAAATTGTTGATTTTTTGGTGGGAAATTAATCGCTTAGATTAATCGATAAATTAGTCAATAGATTAATCGATTAATCTAAACGATTAATTTCCCACCAAAAAATCAACAATTTTACTTAAGAATATTTTATTAAACTATATTTCATTAAACCAAATGAAATCCAAAAGTAAAAAAGTAAAGTGCAACATAAAGTGCAAGAAGCAAGTGTTCATCTCATAGTCCAAATCACTGAAATCAAAGTTCAGTATTATAGTGTTAGAATGACAACATATCCACGTGTTCTAGTCTACTAATAATACAATTATAATCAAAAAACATTTTTTAAAGGAGTATTTACCAGAAATATTATTTACCAGAATTTATTTAGGAGAAAAATGTAAATGTGCAGTATTTCTGAAAATAAAAATAAAATAAATAAATAAAAAAAAATTTTTTTTAAATAAATTAATTGGAGATGCTTTTGATTATTAAAATGTAATGGAACCATTAAAATGGAATCCAGAAAATAATGGAAAACAGAATTAGGTAAAGCTAAAACTGTAAAACTCAATTAATTAGACAGGCTTTTTGAGTAATACAATTTTATTTAACCATTAAAACGTAAAAATGAAAATGGAAAAAACTGAATTTGGAAATAAAACAGATTTCATAGTGCCCTATAATTATAATTTTTTTTTAGTGCTAATAAAAATAGATGTTAGTGAACAATAGCCTTTAAAATGACTTAAAATACATATATAATAGCAATGAGGCAATAATAATTAGTTCAAATAAAAGTTCAGTATTATAGTGTTAGAATGACAACATATCCACGTGTTCTAGTCTACTAATAATACAATTATAATCAAAAAACATTTTTTAAAGGAGTATTTACCAGAAATATTATTTACCAGAATTTATTTAGGAGAAAAATGTAAATGTGCAGTATTTCTGAAAATAAAAATAAAATAAATAAATAAAAAAAAATTTTTTTTAAATAAATTAATTGGAGATGCTTTTGATTATTAAAATGTAATGGAACCATTAAAATGGAATCCAGAAAATAATGGAAAACAGAATTAGGTAAAGCTAAAACTGTAAAACTCAATTAATTAGACAGGCTTTTTGAGTAATACAATTTTATTTAACCATTAAAACGTAAAAATGAAAATGGAAAAAACTGAATTTGGAAATAAAACAGATTTCATAGTGCCCTATAATTATAATTTTTTTTTAGTGCTAATAAAAATAGATGTTAGTGAACAATAGCCTTTAAAATGACTTAAAATACATATATAATAGCAATGAGGCAATAATAATTAGTTCAAATAAAGTATCAAAAGCAAGAAATCATATGGTTTTATTGAACAAAATTGTTAAAATACATAATGTATTATAAACAATAGAGCTAATGTACATTACG